GAGCAGGGTAGCCTGCAGCGGCAGCAGGGGGGTAGCCATAGCCCGGGTACGCTGGCTGAGGAGCAACTGGAGCAGGCGAGGAAGTCAACATCAGCTGCTGGCCTGATAACACAAACACACACACAGGGTTACATGTTACATTCAAAACTGAATCAAATATCTTTGTCATTGATACTCAATAGTACTACGATAGTTAAAGGATCAGTGTGTAAGATTTAGTGGCATCTAGTGGTGAAATATTATATTGCAACTAACTAAATACCATTCACCTACATAAAACCCACAAAAAACAGCCCTTATCTAGAGCCAGTGTTTGGCTTGTAGTTTAAAAGAATTACCGATTCTAAGGCAACAAAACACAACAAACCTATATTCAGCTGATAATACACTAATTACAACATACCTATCAATATTATATTCCATTTTTGACAATAAATCCTCCTAAATGTTACACAACGAACCTTTAAATAACACGGTTGCTGCTCGTTTCAGATTATAACATCAGAAACAGCTATCTCCCGTTAATTGTGGGTGAACCAGCCAGGAAGGCAACATTCATTCTTGGTAATATTTAAAATGTAAAATGATGTTATTATATTCCTGGGTGTAAAATCAAGGCAAAGACGCCATCTGGAAAAGAAAATAACAGTTCTGTAACTGTTGCCCAAAACTTAAAACTTCACAAGTTTGACCACAACATGGAGAAAGATTTACTTGTGTGTTTCAACTTTCAGTAAACTGCTTTACCATTACCTTCATCCAATCAGTATACATTTAGTTGATGTTGAATGTTAAGAGACGCAGACACATAGATCACATCCTGCTGTTTTCACTATTTAGGAACCACAATCATCCGTCCCTCATGGTGACGTGCTGCCTGTGAACCTACCAAACACCATCGGCTGAGGCTCTGTCACCTCGTCTTCAGTTTTCCTTTGGCTTTCTGCCTCCTCCAGTTTGTCCACCTGAGGGCAACAAGGAAAGAAGGACAGATCAGACGTGGATCACTCGCACACTTTACAGAATATAACAAAGTCTGATTTCATACATTGTAGGTATCCTGCAAGGTAACTATGGAAACTCCAGTTTTGCAGGCTGTTTAAACTTAAAGCAAAGATTTTAAATGCAAATTTAAACATGTGTCCTGATCACATTGATAGTAAACAATGTCAGCTGTCAGTGAAAAAGAAAATGTTCTAAGTAAAAGATTTTTGCTGGACACCTACAATGTAGTGATCACAGAGATGTACCAGTTTTATTTAAATGACAATTGCTTATTTAGTGTACTATAAGAGACCATAAACTCTAAGGCTTCAGCTGTAAGACTACACTAAAGTTTATATTTCATATCAAACAAATAAATACTGATTAATATGACACAGTAAATCTATCATACCCACTTCTGAAAGACAAAACTACACACAGTACTTCACAGTGCAGCTATGGTTACCTAAGAGAAGATGCCATGCAGGTTTGGTGAGAATTTCTAAAACAGCTTCCAGTACAAATGTTAAGTCAACAATTAAAGGATCTCTTCACACAAATCACAAAAAACAAAATAAACACCCCAGTGGTAAACCCCAACTCAACAGAATTCAGTTTTATTTATGCTGCTCAAAGCACTGAAGAAAAATTACATTTTAAAAAAATGCATCTTTCCAGATACAATGTCCTTGTTCATCGTCAAATAACTCACAGACCTATTTGTCAACAGTTGTCACTGTGTGTTTTACATTCAGCAGAAAATGGTTTCTAATGAAAACTGCTGACATCATGGTCTGCGGATTATCATGAATAACAAGATAACAAATACATTCTATTTGGTAAGGTCCCACAGGGCTTTTGAGTTTCTAAAATGTGATTTTTAATGTTTTGAGTACCAGAAACAAAAGTAGATTGACGTCGATGGGAAGGGACAGCCAAAACTACATCATGGCTACATACTGCTGGGGAGAAATGTTCTGTTGTTTGTGATTTGCGTGAACTAACCCTTTAACAAAGAAAAATTATAGTGGGATTCAAGGTTAAAGAAATATTCCATTGTGTATTAAGTAAAGGAGAAGCTATAATACATGCCTATATGCTGATGCTACATTTCCAGCCATTCAGTTAAATAAATGACCATCACAGCTTCCACATGCATCCCATTCATGGCTGTAAGCAGACCCTCCTCACAGATTTTCATTGCGTGTTTTTTCTGGACTGAAATCAAGCTACATATTAGAAGCTCACAGGTTAAGCTCATCCTTGCCAGGCATACAGTATTTGCGCAGTGAGTTGGTCGTAGTGCCAGTTTTCCTAGTTGCTAAGTGCAAAGAAATAATCAGGCATTGTGCTTCAACTGTTGAGGCAGCTGAATACAAAAAGGTTTCTGATGTAAGTGGAGATCAGTTCAAACAATGTTTTCAGCTCAATTAATGTAGAATTTAACTAAATCAGTCAGAGTCATAATTTCAAGAAACGAAGAGAAACGTTTGTACAAAAGAGTGAAAAGGTTAACCAACACCTGTAAAGCACTTTTACGTTTTTGACTATAAAATATTATATAGATTGTGAATGAAGAATTATTTCTGAAATACATATTTGAAATACTGTATGCATCTAATTAAAATGGATGTGATTTTAGGAGATAAAACAATACATAACTTGCTGCCTGTCGATCACCTACAGTAAGATAGAGCCCAGAACGTCTAAAACATCTGTGCTGTCTCTTGGTATGTGTTCAGCTACTTGCACTGACCGGCTGCTAGATTCCACCTCTAAATTGTCTGATTGGCTGAAATAAACTTTCCCCGGAGGCAGAAAAAAGGGTTGCGATAACCTTGTAGCCCTACGCTGATCTGACAAATGTTTGAAACTAAAACGTGTTAACCTGGAGTTAGAAACATGGGGATGCATCTATCAAGTCTGGAGTGGCTCGCTCTCCTCACTCATTACTGGACTTTGAAGAGCATTAGCCAGGTGGAAAGATCACCATGTTTCTTGTATCCTACTATATTTGACCATAACATCAGTCTTGTGATTTTGCTTCAGCACAACTGCAATTGTCAAGATTTTTTTTTAAAAATAAGTTAAAAATGCCACTTAACGCTAGATGCAGCCCCAAGAGAGAGAAAGTTAGAGGGTGAGAGCTAACTGTTAGGCCAGGACAGGCTAATCCTGGTCCCGAAGAGCAAGATGGTGCACAGGCTTTGGCTCCAGCCGTCAACACAGTGTTTAAAGTTACTGTAGGGACTCTCGACTGGTCCAAGACTATTTCTTTAGACCACATTATACCTCCTAGATTCAGTGAAGTCTGTTGAACCAGAGATCATAAACATGCTGGCAAGTTCGAGGTCTGCAGAAAATAAAATACAAAAATTGTAACCTAACAAATTGGTGCAAATGTTCACATCAGCAGCATCCTGAACTGTTGCATATTTACACAAAAGCAGCAGCTAATTATACTTTCATTGTTAAAAGGTAGCAGATATATTCCTTTTTAAAGTGGTGCTTAAACCTTTAAAGTCATGAACTTTTGCAAAGGGTTGAATCATTTTATATATCTAATCAGAACACAAAGCTTTTTGTCCAAAGTCTCACATTACAATAAGTTATTTCTACATTTAGTGTGTTGCTTTTTCTGTTTGCACGACAGTCAACCAACAGCAGTGCTTATATATTCATATTTTGATGAATTTGTTTCTGCTTCACAGCTGAAAGCCTTTATTTGAAAATGAAAATTCAACAACCCATACCAAAGAGAAAGTAATGTTCCCCAGGAGGATAATTTAGAAACTGCTTCCAGTAGATAAACTCAGAATCTATTAAAAACATGTGTTGGTGCTGAAAAGGAACAAAAGCCTGCACATACTACTACAGCTCTCCAGGACCAGAGCTAGTTAGGCCGTACTCAGTCTACAGTCCATGCTAGGTTCCTACATCAGAAACCTAAGAGATAAGTTACAACAAAAACAGACAGAACACATAAGAGAAATAAAAAGAGGGCCAGAGACCGTCACCTTCGCTGCAAACTCATCAACCTGGAAAAGAACCCAAAAAGATGACCCCAAGTGACCTCACATGTCTACAGGTCAACATTTTAGGACATCATGATGACCAGGCGGAGTTCACTGGCAAATATACTTTACAACTAGGGATGCACCGATTTATTGGCCGAACATTAGTATGAGATGCTTATCTTTGTAGATTTCTTTGTTACCCGGCACAAAAGGGCTAATAAATAACAAAAACACAGCGGTATCGGCCAAATTGTTATTTCAAACACTGGTATCAGCCAAGAATTTCCCAATCAATGCATCCCTATTTACCACAATTATTAAGAAAGCCTTTCTCTCAATCTTCTCGTCTCAGCATGTCTGTGTAAACTAAAAGTTGTTCGTATGACCTGTATTTCAATACCAGAGATATTACAGACTGTCGTTCACTTCTCACCCATCGAGACAAGTTTCTACAGGAAATTAAACAATCTGAGAAAAATAAACCAATTTTAGTACACAGCAAAAATGTTAAACTTGTTTCCTCTAAAAATATAAATAACTAAACCTACTTTTACGTTTAATCAAATATCAACTATAGCTCTTCAGTGGAGTACTGACCTTTGAGAGGTACTCTCTCATGACCTGGATGAAGTACGGCATTGCAAAGTCCATGATGTTGTGCCTCCAGGCCAGCTCCAGCACCACGTCAGGGTGCAGCAGGTCATAGGAGGCGAACAGGCAGGCTGCAAAACACTCCTTCCTGCCCTCCTCCAGGAACCACTGGAGCAGAGTCTCTGCCAGCTCTGCATCCTTAGACTCTGCAGCATACAGCATGGCATCCTGGGAAAGGCAGAAAGTGGGTAAGTGGTTGATTGACTCATTATGAGAAATATGAAATCCTTGATACAAGTTTGAGAAGTTGTCTGAACAATAATTTCTGAGACTGACACACCGTTAGTTGGTCCATGTATCTACAGTATGTTCAGATACTGTATAACAAACAGTGCCACCTATAGGAAGATGGAGGTACATTTTCTTTGCTCAAATACTGTTGTCTCACCTTGTAGAGTTTGTCTTTCTTGCAGAGCTCTACACTCTGTCTCCAGCGGTTGTTGCCCTTGTACAGGTAAGCAGCAATACGTCTGAACTCGATCAGTTCATGTTTCTCTAACCTCTGTGCCAGGCCAATGGTATCAAAGTTGTCATAGGCATCGATGGATGCTCTCAGGCCCTGTGGATAACACACAGAGTGAAAAAGTATTTCATCACAGACCAGAAAGAAAGTCGAGGAATACCTGAACCAGTTAGTTTCCTGTAACTGGACCTCAGCAGTGCCACCTAGTGACCAGAAGCTGGGTATATTTAATATTACTTACATTCACTATTTCAAATGTCATTATGCAGGGAATAAACTAAATAAAGTAATAAAATATAAAATGTCACTTACTAAGAAAGGATTTAACTCTGCAAAAAATTAAAAACACAAACACTGCTACATACAAGATGAAATGTAATGCAAGTTTTCAAAACAAACATGACAAATAACACAGCTCCATAGAAGACAAATCAACGGTGCTCTGCTTGTGGAAGAACAGAAAGAGAACAGCCCGAAAACCTCTACAACATGCTGAATGCTGAACACAGATGAAACTCAAACATACCAGTTACTGGGAAAGATGAACTCCCTTTTTATCAAGTGTTTACATTATTTTGTCCACTTTCTATTATCGACATCAGTAACAGACCTGGTAGTCTTCCTCCTCTGTCAGCAGGTTGTTGAGGGCTTCGTTGACGGACTTGTTGTTGTGATTCTGGACAGACCTCAGGTAAGGCTTCACCAACTTCAGCTGGTTCACCTGATCAAGCAAAAACAACCCATGTCATGTCAACCGTGTACTAGACATAAAGAAAAATACAAAAGGTTTGATTCATAGAGGTTGACCTCGTGGCTGGTTACCTTGCTGAAAAAGTTAACAGCTCTGCTGTGGTCCAGCCGTGGAGACAGAATGGTCAGCAGGTCATTAAGTAATAGAGGTTTGTAATCCAGGTAGAAGAAAAGGGATTTATAGTACAGCTCGACGTTGGCAACCTGAGGAGAAAAAAAACATACATACACAGATCAGAAAAGGTGAGCATGTTTGAAAAGGTAAATACACTGTTCAGCCAGAAACACTTCTGTTTACCTTAGCAATAATGTCTTTGAACAGCCCTTCTTTCCACGCATCTGTCGGATGAGACATCATTGTGAGGACAGCGTTGTCATACTCCTCATATTTATCGTAAAGGAAAACCAGCTCTCCCCATAAATGGGACTGCTCTGCAGCGCGAAGGACCTGGCAAACATAGAAAACACAGAACAATGTCAAAATCAATCAGGTTTCACATTGAAGCACTCTTTCATGAGTGTCTAAGTTTTGTTTGGTTAAATTCATGGACTCCAATGCAGTGTATTTGGAGTAAAACGTGTCATTTATTTACACAGCGCCTTTTCTCAAAATCTTAAAGTGCCTTCGAGAGGCAGAATACACCTAACAAGATCTAATCAACAGCCACAGAAATACCAAATGAAGACTAACAGAATACCAAACTTTCTGTTTTTACTCATCAGATCAAGATACACATTTTCTATTACTCCTACACTGGGACCAACATATATCTTTGGGTTTTTATTAATAATGTGAAGTGTGGATCTGAGGAATATTGACCAAAGCAGGTACTACATTTAAAATAAGCTCTATTTCTTTTCTTTCAAGGCAACAATTATTTGAAAGCTCTCAAAGATTTCAAAGGAATTCTAAAAAAGCCTTTTTTCAACCTTTTGATTTTAACAGTTTAAAAATGGTAAAAGAACGTCTAATCATCACAAGACAAAAGCAATATGTCAGCTAGAAAAAAACAACTCAAGGAATCTTCTGTGCACAATATTACTTTCCTTCCAGGGTGCTGATGAGAAGCAGAAATCTTTGCAGCGTAATAAATCAATATGGAGCTCATGGCACACAAACAGTCTCCTCCTTTGTGATGAACTCTTTGATTTATTACAAAATATATAATTGTCTCCACACACACACACACACACACACCACAAGCACCACACACAAGACACAACACACACACAACACACACACACAACACACACACACACACACTCCTCTCTCTTCTCCTCTCTCTCTAACCTTTGGATTTACCTGGACGCAGAAGACTCCAGGTGCTCCCTCATCTTCTGAGGTTTGAACTTTGAGTAGAGGATGGCGAGCTCGGTGAACATGCCCATGTGAGCCCGCTCCAGACCCAGCGCAGCCTCTAGCAGAGCAATGAGTTCCTCAAAGTACCCGCGGTCCTGATAGTAGCTGATCAGGTCCTCCAGCTCATCGGCGTGGATCACTATGTGAAGGCCGCAGATTTGTGCCAGCCGAAACTCCTCGCCATCCACACACGCGAAACACACCTGATGATGATGGGAGGGAAGAGAGGAGAGTTACTAAGAAAAACAATATAAGAAAATTACTAGTTCTCGTGGCTCAATGTATTAAGCGCCTTTCAGATGTGCATCTCTTTAAGTAAATCTGATGACAATTTTATACATTTGTCTCATAAACATTTCTGTAACACTTCCAACAAGTCTGAAGTGAATATCGTCACAAAAAGGCTGCAGCAGCAAAACATTATATACAGAGAGAGAGAAATTAAATGCATGTTTTGTTCCCCCTGTTAAGATCACAGTGTAATCTATAATTGAATTATCTTCTCTTATGCATGGATAAATTATACCATGAAACACGGTGAGGATATTCCTGAAATATTTAGTCCATATTCTAATAAATCAGCATCTACAACTATACTAGATGGTAAAATTTTAATGTATCTTCACATCAACAGATAAAAAGCTTATTAGAAGCCTGTGGGGCTCTAACTGTGCTTCTGTGGCTAATCCTTGTTCACATAATGTGGGATGGAAGGTAGTGATAGACAAACATCCTCATTTTTATGACTTGGGAAAGTTTACGCCATTGGAAAGAAAAACTCAGTTTTATGATTGCATAGTCGGTGATTTGAGAGTTAAAAATAAAGTACTATACTCATTAAATTGACATTTAATCACCTGAAACAACAGACTTTGTTTACTTTGCCAGGCATTATTGAGGACCAAGTCGTATGTATCAGATATCCCAGCAGTAATTACGACTTGGATGTTGACATGAATGGTATTTATTTATTAAGCTACAAACTGGTAATTACAGTAACTCCCACTTGATATAAATGCGGCATAGTTACAGTTGTCGAATGCTAACAGAATAATTGGGCTCCCTTTTTTTTTAATGGTGAGGTCCTCAAATTAGCCAATATAGTCTTAGATACTAACTTATCTTAGAATATGCTGTACTATATTTAAGATTTTTAGACTGATATAACCTTCTATTATGAAAAATAAAGAATCCCAGTGATCCATTTTTAAGCAAAGGCTAGTTGAACAGTTGTGTTACCTCCTTCCATGTCCGTGTGCTGTTGGCTTTCCTGGCACTGTCCACTGCCGCCTGGTACTCTCCGAGGTGGACTAGTGTTGATGCAAGGCGAGCAAAGTTGGACACGTTGTTGTACAAGAGCTTGGCTGCTTCATACATACCCTCCTCATAACATCTATCGCCCACCTGGAGAAGGAGAGGGAGAGAAATTAGCAGATAGATACGCAGTTACTGGTAAGTAACAGCTACACAATCCTATTAACACTACAGATGTGATGTTCTTCTGTACCTGCTGTATGTGGGCATTGTTGGGCCCACTGACAAACTCTTCCAGCTCAGCCAGACGGTTTGTTTTAGCTAAAGCAAAGATCAGCTCCGTCTCCACGTAAGACTCTCTGGCTTTCTTTCGCGCCATCTGGAGGAACTTAACCAAGTCTTCCCAGTTATCTGCAAAAAATGCAAACAACACCTTAAAGATCAACTCAGATCAATCACAACAAAGTAAATTAATGCGAGCTGCTGATGTGAAGCTGTGTCGTTCTGCAAAGCAAAAGCTTACTGTTCTTGCTGGCTGCGTTGACCACCTCCATGTACGCTGAAGGGTCAACAGCTTTAATATATGAGTCAATGGCTTCCTTGACCAGGTCTCTCTGCAGCTGAGCTCTGGCTAACTGACTCCACACTGCAGGCTCATTACAGCGCTCAGCAAACTCATAGGCACGATCCAAGTTCCCTATGTGCTCTATTAAAACCTATGAATGAGGAGAGAGGTGCATTATATGGTCTGACATACAGGTTCTTCCAGTGACCACACAGAAAACACCTGGAACAAAAGCTGTTTATTTCCAGGAATAAACAGGAGTAATCATTCCCTAAGCAGCAATTAAGATACACTGATACAACCTGCAACATCAATTACCGACACAGATTGTAATTACTCGTAGTACTAGTATTAGCAAATTAATTTGTCTGTTTTGGATACCAAGATCAATAATGGCCTGAATATTGGGATTAAAAGATTCCTCTGCTAAAAATGATTGTAGTAAGGACGAGAATAAGAGAAAGACAATGAACATTTAAAACGCAATTTGTTGCTAGACTGGGAAATCCATAAACATAACTGATACACATATTAATAATACACTTGTATACACTCACTCAAGCAGTAATATAATTATTTTACCTGTATGGCAGAGGTGTTCACGTCAAACTTCTTAAAAATGGCAAAAGCTTCTTCGAAGAGCTCGTTACTGATGGCAATATTAGCGATGTCTGGAGCATCATAGTTGTCTAGCCTGTTAATGTACTCCATCACACGAGTGCGATCTGCCTTGATGGCCGTCAAAATCAGCAGGTTCTGGAGGTTTCTGGAAAAATATCCAGTACAGGGAAATTATTTAAATGACAAAATAACTGTTGGTAAATGACCGTGATGCCTAACAGGCTGTATGCCTGCGGTACCTGTGCTCACTGAAGACAGAGTTATCAAGTACAATCTTCTCCAGCAGCTCAATCAGCTCGTTGGGCAGGTCTGCAGTCATGAAGGCCTTGACCGTGACTGACACCTCCTCTGGGTCCTGAGTCTCCGACAGGGCTGTCTGCACCACCTGAGATGAGAAAAAACATGAGAGAACAAAAATAAACATGGAGAAATCCCTCATTCACAGTCACTTCAGGAGCAGAGCTGGAGGACACCCAACCTGGTCGATGAGTTGTCTTCTGAAGGGGTTGTTTTCTTCTAACACGTTCGCCCAAAGCTCTGGATCTTTCCGTCGTACCAGATATCGTGCCTCACTCTTGAATAACGAGTTCTCGTTGCACACCTGAGAAGGAAAGATATAAAGTGATTAAAGATTTATCTATTGTAGGATTATGTCAATGATCATCTAAATTCAGTATCATGTGATCTACACACTTTGATTAGCTCCAGGTCGCACTGTCCTCTCTCATACGCCACACAGGCCAGGTGGGGGTCTCTCTTCTCGCAGTATTTCCCGACCACGGCGCTGTCGTAGAACGGGTTCTCCTTCAGGAAGCGCTCAGGTGTGTTGTTACTGTCAATGTAGATCTTGGCCAGTGCATTGTGGGTAGCTGGCTCCTCGCATCCTTCATGGATACGGGACTCCAGCCATGGCAACAGAAGTTTCAACCTGTGAAGATAAAACACATAAAATAAAACACATAACCAGAAGAAATATCAGCATTTAAAAGAAGCTTTTAACTTGCTTGTGCATGCCTGTAGTTTTCATGTAGTGTAATAAATGCAGTCACAAAACTAGATGGCAGTGTTGTGCATTCAGCAGTGTTATTCATTCAAAGTATTCATGTTTACACTTTCTCACATTCACATTTTTTGATACAGAAAGAGGATTTGCACTGGATGGAAATAGCTTCAATAAATGAGGAACACTTTATCCGTCTAGCAATACTGATGGATTCACACAAACAAAACAGTAGGAAAACAATTCTTCTGAAAAGTTCAGAGATAATCAACATTGGAAGCATTAAATAAAAATATTTATTCCATCATCATTAATGCAGAAACAGCCAAGCACATTTTTCATATTTAGTCCCTTTTGTTTGTGTGTGCACATTTTGGTGATTTATGGCATCAGGTATCAGATGGCATTATAAATATTTAAATCTCTGCAAGCAAGGTCCTTATATGTGCTCAAGTTTATTTCTGTTGATCCTCACAAGATTATTTTTCAAGTCAGTATTTATTTTTTTACTTTTGTAACTTGAAAATCCCCGGTCATTCCTTTAACCGGTCCAAAATGTACGGTATGAAGTGGTTCAAGCACACAAACACGTCTTTCAGTGTAAATGTAGCCTATGTAACCACTACAACTACTTATATTTTTAAAGAGGATTAATTAAACAGCTATTAGGTATCTACTAGGGGCGTAAATCACCAGTTTCATCATGATACAATATTATATTAATTCTTTGGACAACAATATGGTATTTGCTAATATCACAAAGTCTGCCACGATACAATTCTGAATTGATTCTATTCAGGGGAATCAATAGGAGATAATATTTTATATCCCCATTAACACAATCAGTTACATTTATCGATGTTGTTGTCTCGATATTGTCTAGTTGAAAATATATTGACATATTGATCCAGATCGATGTATCGTTATACCTCTAGCACCCACAGAGACACAAATTCTACTTTTGCAAGAGGTACCGAGTCACTTTGACACACAGTTTGCATCCAATGAGACAAACAGAAGCAACTATGCAAGATAATAACAAATAGTGGAATCATTTAGTCTTACCTGTTCCTCTTCTCTACTTCCTCCACCAACTCATCAGTGGAAAACTGCCCTCTGACCACCATTATCAGGTTCTTAATGACATCCTCAGCACAGTCTACATCCAACAGACCACCTATCACCACTGGTAAACGACTGGGATTCACCTGAAAACAAATGCAACAAATTCTAAATGAAGATGTCAACATGGAGCCCAAATAAGGTTTGGATTAAGCAGTAACCAATTACATATAAAGTCTCAGCTGTGGTCTTGATCTTACTTTCTGTACGTAGATTTCAATGTATTTCTGCAGATTGTTGCGGTAGAGGTAGAGCACCAGGTCATGGACGAAGTCAAAGCGATCACACACAATGATAAGAGGAAGTTGGTCTGTTAGCTTGGCCTCCTACAAAAGGAAAAACACATGAGATCAAATTGAATGAAATTGATAAAATATCTCCCAGTTCCGACTGAAAGATGAAATCAATCATAAACATTTAGATCTTTTTACCTTGAGGAAGTTTTTAACCCTCTCCGGGTCATAACAGTTGCTCTCTCTGCAGATTCTCTCCACTTCTTTGATCTGGCCAGTTTTACAGGCAGCCTGGATGTACTTAAAATGAACATCAGGCTCCTGGCTGAAATTCACAATCGATCCAAGGAAGTAAAACAAGCCTTGAATAGAGAAACAGCAGAAAGGTCAGCTCAATCTATGATGACTTAAAGTCTGCACAAAAATGGCAAAATTGCACACTTAACATGACCAAAGTCTGCACTCAAACCCCCACTCATGAGTGACACCTACCCTCATAACTCTTGAAGGATTCGAAGAGCTCCACTAATGACTGAGTCCCCAGCTGCTCATGATACTTAGACGCTACCTGGACACACAGCTGCAGGTTCTGCCTGATGTTGGCTGACAACATGGCCCTCAAACACTCCAAAGAGTCCTCTACTGATAAAGAGCCAAAGAAGTTCACCAGCCACTAAAAGGAGAATGAGAAAAAGGAAGGAATGAAAATTAAGCAAAGTAAAAAGACAAGAGAAACACGCGAGGAGGAAAGCGACATTCACAGGTGTGACCAAACATCCACAGGCATACCTCAGGGTTGAGCAGATGTGTGTGCACTACGGCTCGTTTGATATCATACAGGTCGGTGTAGTGTTCAAGAGCTCTCTGCAGCAGACCTGCCTTCTCACACAGCTGTGCAACGTGGGCACGGTCATAGTGGGTGAACATCTGGTTCCCCAGGATCGCATCTGCTACCTAAAAAAAGAAAAAGTCCACACACACATGAACACACAAGTCATGTTTGATATCATCAAGGGAAAAGTTGCTTTCTGTAATCAGGACAGTCATTTTAATCTAAACGTTCACCTGGGGGGCGTGTATGAGGTTCATCTCAAGCAGACGTGTCTGTAAGTGTCCTTCAGCTGGGCGGTTGTTCTTCAGAGCATCCAACAGGAAGGAGGTGCACTGCTGGATCAGGTTGCCCTCCATGAACACATCTACGATCTACCAAAGGGCAAGAGAAATAAAAACAAAAAACATGAAAATATGGAATAAGTATGGAAAAAAATAGAATTCATACCATCTGTGAGAGATGGTTTGAGTTAGCATGCAAGGTAAGATTACAGTCACACACGATTAGGAATCACAGGCCAGATGTTTCTGCTCTGTTTACACCACAAATAAAAATGGGTGGGCGCATTAACTGAGAGATGCATCAAGTTTTCTGGTTGGGATTTGGACTGAGCAGAGTGATGATGTGGCTTTAAAAGGGGGTGGGGGTTGGGGGGGGTCACTGACTTAGTGAATTCCTGGCATTGCTGGCACATCTGGAATAACAAAGATCCCACACTGGGCACTTTGTGTGTTTGCGTGCATGTGTGAGGTTAAATACGCAGATTTTAAAAGGAGGGAATGCTTAGGAGTAACACTGTATGTCTCTGGTGAGTCAGGTGGTTGTGTTGGTGTGTGCGTTACCTGGTTGATGTTGGCCAGTGGCTCCTCATCCTGGACCAGCATCTGAGCAAACTGCAGCCCCTGGTCTGGATTGACACGCATCACATTTCTCAGCAAAAACACCCAGTCTGGGGTGTAGCCCACCTACAAAAGTACAGTTGGTTTAAAATGTAGTTCTCAATGACATTTACACACATATAGTATTATATTCTGTTCTCAAAGTTACAATTTATATTGTATCACTACATGTTTCCATCTAAATGTTACACAAATTTTAAAAAAGTGTGCAGAAACTGTGAATCACTTGCACTGACCCATTAGTAATGAGTGGTGTTTTCATATACCAGTATGTGCAGAATAAATATGTGTGTATTTTTTCCAGTGTTTTTAAGTGATTACCTTTTTAGCATACAACACTATCTTCTGGAACTGGCCGGTCTCAGCGAAGCACTGTATGACCTTGTTGGGGACGTTAGCTCTGAGGTACACACTAAGAGCGAGGGTGGGGTCAGAGGCCTTCACCAGGTCTCCCAGCTCCTCCGAGCACTCCAACTACAACACATACAATCACAGCAGTGAGTTAATGATCACTGTATAGCTGACAGCGCAGGGTAAACAAGCACCATTTATAGGTTAAGAACTTTAGCGAAAGGTAAGTGTTCGTTACAACCCACATCACTCTCACCATTATCACTTTCAAAATCTATTTCTGAGAGTCTACTGTATATCTGCGGATCAGCCCAAGCATATGAAAGCTGCCTTGTTGTCTAATCCTCCAGTCCTACCTTGTCCTCCTTCAGCCATTTCTCCAGTAGCTGCTTGCGACCCTGCTGCAAGACGGGCCTGCACAGCTCCAGAGATTCAAACTTGTTTAGCTGGCCCTGGTCCAACAGAATACCAAAGTACTGCAACAGTGGAGAGGCCTGACCTGGCTGGGCCGGGACACTCTGAAACTTCCGGATGGTCTCTGCTGTCCGCAGGATACCCTGAGGTGAGGAAAGACGAGGAAGAATGGAGGAATTATGGGTATAACGGAAAAAACAAGACACAACAAGTAATTCCATTAAATCTTCTAAACTAGGACAGGAATAGGATTTATTGCAGTGTATCAAAACAGTGATTTGCAGTGCCTATCAAAAATACCACATCCTTTGGATTTTTATATTTTTTACACCACTGAATCACAGAGAAAAGCAAAACTTTTTTTTTACCTAGAATTGTTTTAGATTTTTTGCCAGTGCACCTGGTGCGTATTAGGAAACTACAAGGTAGCAGGAAATACAGACTTACCTTGGGTGCTGATGCAGCAACCTTTGCAGCCTCCGAATAACTTCCCTGAGAAAACAGAGTGTTAAATTTCCTGGCAAAAATCTCCTCAGCCCCAGCGAGGTTTGACCTCACAGCCATCCTCAAGGCTAGATCAGGGTTCTGTAGGACGTTGGTGGCATAATTGACAATGTTTTCCTCTTCAACGCACACTGACAAGACCTGTGATAGATACACATGTAAAGTAGATGAGTGAGGTAAAGCAGCCAAGACAGGAAACAATTTGACAATAATTACGTATTTCCGGTTTGGTTCTGGTTTCTCACCTGTCCCTTCTTGTTGACCCCAATAATTCCCGAGGTGGCTTCATGTGGGGCGGTCACAAAGATGGTCTCTGCACTGATTCGGTTCATGTAGATACACACTCCAGACTCCAGGTCATACAGGTGAATGTAACCGTACTTTGTGATCAAATATATGACACCGTGCTTACTACCAATCTGAGGAAAATGATAACAGAAAGAGAATTTGAAGAATTCAGCGGTCACCTTTAGTTTACACAAAACTAATAAGTAGCAGGGGTCTTTCCTTACCTGCATAGCTACTGGAAAGTCTGTCTGGGCCTCTGGAGGGAAAAACACATCCACTGCTTTCTTAGCAAATGGCTGGTTTCCTGCAGCTGGCTGACCAACTTCAATGATGTGCAACTGGAAGAAGAAAGCCCACATAAAGAACTGACCGCAGACAACCACAGTAAAATAAATATGAAGATGAAGTCGACAGAGACGATGCACTTTCTTGATGCCAACATTTAGGAGCTATTATGGTGAGCAAAAAGCATCACAGTTGTTTCTCCTATGATCTTAAAGGTTATATACATATATGATTCTAAACACTAATATAGCAGCAAACAATTATATGCTATGTAAAGATATAGTGGAGTAATGGCACCCTGAGTGGACACTCCTTTGCCAATGTGGCAGAAACTGAAACTGTTGTTTTTCTTATCTACGTTGGTGAATTAAGGATTTATTTCCCCTGATAAGTGTTGGAAAGACTAACAAAGACAGTTTCGGTGACTTTTGTTTCTCTCCACTTTGAATACAGTTGTAATGTTGCAATCATATGCAAGGTGCTTCTAGTTAAAGAAAAGGTCTAGTTCTGTCTCGTACTTTAACAGGTGCCAAGCAACCTAAATTGACACCATTGTAGCCCTTTTCACAAATACTTTCACATCTAACTCTGTTTATTTTGAACAAATCAGTGTTTTTGTTAGAAAGACAGTGGAAAGGGAGTTTTATTTTGTTTTTGTCTCGTTTGAAGTGTGTTTTACAATCATTTGCTCGGTAAAATTGCTGGCTTTGTCAATGGTCTGTACGGCCGAAGCAACCAGTTGTTATGGTCTGAGATGCTGGTGCTCTAGTGATACAAATAATAGATACAACCTAAAACACAATGCAATTCAGAGCTCTTTGTTCAGAGACTAAATACACTGATAGCATCGTGAGTGAAATTCTTGTGTACACGGGCCCTCACCTTTCCCCCAGCCTGTGAGCGCACAGCAAAGCAGAAAAGCGTGGAGGGTTTGGCATTTCCCTCCACTTTGAACTCCCCAAAGGCAGCAGCGTGCCCCTCGATGGGCTGGGACACTTTCCTGTCTACTGAATAGAGCTGCATTGCCCCAACCACACGATTTTGCTGCAGGACAAAGAGACAAAACAAGAGTGTAAGAAATGATTGATGCATTTAAGTCAGTCACACCACCGCATTAATCAAATGATTCGAGATCAACGATGGTTTTAGGTTCAAGTTTAAGAAATGAAGAGACACTGAACATTACAGTAATATGTCATAAACAGTATGGGTACAATATATGTTATATGTTATATTAGTAGGTAGTAGGTATGTTGGTTAGGTTTATGTATTTGGTTAGTTGTGGTTAAAGTCATAGTTCTACATTTAGGGAATTACTTTTATGCACTCTCTCTAAGAGTTAGACAAGAAGATACTGCAGCCTGGAGTCTCTACTGGTTACTGGAAAACTCAGTAAATAAAGAAATGTGATATAACACTATAATTAGTGAACTTTGGAGTTGGTGGTATGTGTATTTTGTTACCCTTGGAAAGAGCCAGCTAGCTGTTTTCCTCTATTTGAGTTCTTCATGCTAAGCTAGGCTAACCGCCTTTTGGTTCCAGCTTCATATTTACAATACAGACATGAGAGTGGTATCAATATTATCACGTAACTCTCAGCGTAATAAGCTTATTTCTCAAAATGTTGAACTATTATCAGGATAAAATTCTAGGAGGTTGGTTATAACTGAAATTTGCTGGAAACTTGATTGGTTGACGTTGCTGCTGTACACAGCCTTCCAGTAAGCAAAGCTGTATTTTCTTACTTTTTTTTTTTTTACACTAAGGCAGCAAAATACTGTGTGTGTGTATGTATATATGTATATATATATATATATATATACATATAAGTGCTGTATATGTAAAATGACGTGCATTCCACACTAGGGTGGTTTATGAGTCTGTTACAGTCAGTGAAACTCCAAAACAATGTCGGAATCTCCTCTTCTTCCTCTTCTTTCAATCATTAAACATCCATTCTGTCCCTTCCTGCTCTACATCATCTGCTATGTTTATTTATAGACTGACTCACACTAACTCACACAACTCAGCCAGCATAAAACAGCGATTTGATGCTACCTTGCACTGCTGCACTGAGATGTTGATCAACTTTACGATCATGATGTGTTCACAGAGCAAGTTAGATTAAAGTTTGAAAATTGGAGAGATAAATTTATCTTAGTGTGTACTTTTTGTCTTATGAGGATGTAGATAAGGGATCAGAGAGTGATAAATCATATTAATTCCTCTGCAAGATATTTCTCTGTCATGTACACCGCTGTGAGAGGCATGAGTAAACATGTTCAGGTGTCTTTTCATACCTGCGCAGAAATCCCTATCAGCAGCAGCCACTTCTGTTGTTCGTCAGTTCTGTAGTTGATGATCTGACATCCCGCCAGACTGGCGTGCCGATCGAATACTTTGGTAGGTTGGGAATCCCCCTCCATGCTCCAGTGATAGACGGCCGAATCCGTCACCAGGGCAACAGTGTTTACAGATATCCACTTCCAGAACATGACCTCCTCTGTCATAGTGTGAGCCTTCACCTTACTCTTCATCTCAATGTTGAAGATCTGCAGCGTCTTGGCAGCTGAGGGGAGGTAAAGAACCCGAGGGGAGGCAAGTGAGACATGTATCAGAGCTATGAGTAGGTTTAAAGTAGAGCTGGGTAATGTAACCTCTCACCAAAATCACATTATCACACATATAGCTCGATGATAATAAATGAATGATATCTGGTCACAAAATACCACTGAATGTACTACCTGTATGGCCTTCTATAAAATGACTACTGAAAGTCTGTATCACATTTTCTGATGAAATATTTTTTTTTTTTATATAACTATTTATATTGCTATTTTTTTCTCATAAAGTTAAACTGCTTTCAACCATCTTTAGATTCATGTATTGAAAGCAATTTTGGCAGACTGACTGTAAACACAAACAAAAACTCCCAACACTACAGTCTCACTGGCCACCCATAAATCTTAATTTAAGAGGATAGCTCACAACTGCTCACAGTGAGGAAATAACTTAAAGAATTAAGCAAAATTTACTCTGTTACTGATTTCCTGAAATGCAGTCTGGTATCTGTGGATTTTCACTGTTCAGGGCCTATATCTTGTGATATTTATGACACACATATAGGTTTGGTATTGTGCGTCCCAAAAGCTATTTTCTTTGTGGCACCGTGTAACTTTTAGGTCAGGTCTGAATGGACGTACTTTGAAAGGACTACTTTTTATAGCATTATTTAAAGTAACAGACAGATAGTTACTGTAAAGAGGTGATGGTGTTGAATTTCACATTCACCTCCATAAATGGGGAAAAATGCATTGATACCACTAGAGGACAGAGGAAGTCTGTTTTTTCTCTGGTTAAGGGTGTTTTATAGGCCAAAGAAGCACCGCTCTGTACACAGTAACGTGGCTGATACTTCCTGGGTGCAGCTGACCTCTGGCTTCACAAGCAGACGGCAGCTTTAAGATAAATTACAGAATAAACCTCGAGATACCACAGGTTTGGCTAGAGTACTAGATTTTTGATTTATTGTACGTAAGTGCTATATATGACCAATAACAACATTTACCAATAAAGTTACAGAGAAACAAACAGGTGAGGTAATGCATGATTCAGGTGTATACTGGAGCTGTTATAGATATAATGATACATTAATGGCATCCCTTATATGCAGCAAAGAGAGATTTGAATGTTGATATGGCACACGCTCACACAGGCGTGCAAAGACACACTGCGCCCCAACTCTTTTCAGTGTGCAATATCTGATGATGCATACCACACATACCCTCTACCAGCATAAAACAGATCATGCTAACACATGTATAGTTCTCATAAAAGTAGGATATGTGCCAGCAGGTTTGGTCAGAGTAGGGGTGTGATACTGAGGCAATATATTGGCAGTAGAAGTAATTTCTAAACAGTTGTCTGTCCTTTGATTGATCAGGGGTCAAAATAGCTCTGCGTACTTGAGAGGGGTATGTGGGACGCCTTTATGAGAGAGACATGGCTACTGTATCATCACAACAGAGTGCCAGACGGGTAGACAGACAGAAAGCAACTCACCGTCTGAGAAATGACAGAAAGCAAGGGAGAAAAAGCAAAGTGTCAATCAGGTAAGAATGAGAAGACAAAGATAGACCAGTGGGAAAGGGCAAATAGGGTCATATAATCCTCAGAGGGAGGGGGGAGGACGGAGAGAGAGAAGCATTATAGGCAAATCATCCTGATCAGCACTTGTGTTTGTGCTCTGAGGGCTAGATTCAGTGGCATAAAATCAATTTGCACGACCAATTTAGTACATTCGGGCAATAGAACTGAGTGCACTCCACATATTTACAGCATTGACAGAGCATTAGTCATTGCATGACCGGTGGCATTCCCACAGTAATACTAGTAGATGGCTAAATCTGTTAAAACTAGAGACCAATAAACAGTGTGAATGCCATGCAGACTTCACTCTGGGAATTTAAACAACAATACAAACAACGCTTTGTATGAAGCCACTAACAATACCAGCAAAGTGTTTTTTGTTTCTTACAACAACACAGTATTTCTCGTCCAATAAACAGTGGTGTGGCTGCCTGAATGTGTTGCCGAATGTGTCATGCTCTTACCTTTCAGGGCGATGACCTTGCTGGCAGGGTTCATGATGGCACTGTCGGCAGAGATCGGCCTCCTGATTGGGTTGGTGGGATCGGACATGTCCACGATCACCACCTGGTTCTGCTCACCCACCTTCTCTCTGATACAGATGAACTTGTCCGACTCCATGGTCAGATAGCTGAACCCAATGTTGGCTGGGTTCACACCCATGTTCTGCAACTGGAAATATTAAAACAAAAAACAGTAACATGAGAATCTTTACCCAAATCTTTACTTTAACCATATTTCGCAATTAAATGCAGTATAAGGCTGAATAAATTGTTGATACTAGTGTATAAACAGTTTATGAATTATTAATAACATCGCTGTAACTATATTTAAAGCAATCTACATTTTGGGATATACTAATAATCTCATGTCTGTATGGTAAATATGAAGCTACAGTCAGCAGCCAGTTAGCTTAGCTTAGCAAAAAGACTGGAAGCAGGAGGAAACAGCTAGCCTAGCTCTGACCAATAGTAACAAAATTCAACAAACAGCACCCACTAATTGACACGTTGTATCTCGTTTGTTTGATCACTAAAAACACAAACAAAATATAAAAATGACAATTTACTGGTCTGTGCCGTAACTTCCTGGAGTCTTGTCTGGTTGCCTGGCAACTCCAAGTCTGGCACAAAACTTCCCCATTAAATGGCGAATTATCATTTTTTCGTCTTTTTTTTAAGGAAACGAGATATAAAGTGCTAATTAGTGAGCTTTAGAGGTGCTGAAAGGTGGATTTTGCTGACAGAGCCAGGACAGCTGTTTCTTCCTGTTTCCAATCTTTATGCTAAGCTAACCATCTGCTGGCTGTAGCTTTGTATTAAGGGGACAAATATCAATGATAAGATTACACACATGAATAAACTTTCACAGTGTGTTAGAAAACATTTAACGTTATTAAATAATTCGGAGTTGCACTTAAAACAGTTTATAAATTTGTTCATTTACAAGCTCTTGGAAATAATAGTTTAATTTATAATAATGATAATTCTTAATTCAAGGTCCACTTATTAGATTTTTTCCAGAGATTTTGGCCACATGTTGTGGTCTACTCAGTTGTCAGAATTAAGACATATTTACAAATTAATAAATATAATAAATACATATTATTAATAATTACATTATATTCACATCAAATATGATTACATCTGTGTTGCATTATTGTGTCAATCATTAATTATCTGTTCATTGTTAGTTACGGATGATTCATAGGTGTTATAGTTATAGTTGTTGTTGAAAAATAAATTAATAAAACCTTGATTGTATTGTAGTAAGTTATAGCATGCTACAAACAATGTATTCATTGTTAATTGTTTATAAATTCTAAATAGGGAGAGTGTGTCCTAATAATAATTGGAAAGGATGAGCTATGAGCTGGTGTCATTTAATGTCAAACCAACACATGTTAAATGAAAATAAAACAGAAGACTTCATTATAGTGTGCCAACAGTTTCCAACATTTGCACTAAAAGAGAAACTCATGGAATATTCCAACTTAACACAGTTTTAAGGCCTCTGAAGGAGTGACGCCTACATTACAACAACAAAAACATGCAGTGGGAAAATATATATCGCAGCAGCTGACATTTGCCATGCAGGGGGAAAAAAGCAAAAAAAGCAGCAAGTAGCGGACCAACACTGTGTTTCGATTAAAATAGTAGCAGGTCTGCTCCAATTTTCCAGGGATATTCTTAAAGGTTGTTTTCCAGACAGGAGGTCTGGTGGTACATGGAGCCAGGGAACAAGCGTGGGCACAAAGCAGACAACAGGATGTTAACTCCACAGAGCTTTATTTTACACTCCTGTTATAGCTGCTAATAGTCTCCTGGATTTACTGAAGCATTGAGATGTTTCATGACAGATTTTTTTTACTTGTATTACCATTATTGAAACCATCAACGCATCTCAATTAAACTTTTAAAAAATACAGCGTTACTTTACAGCAAAGCCTGCAATTAAACCGTGACACTGCATTTAATTGTCTATGTAGGCAGCCGGCTGTAAAGAAGTTTAATTATAACTAGATTATTTAGCCCAAACCAGTCTGAGACAACATTTAAGAAAATCCCCGATAGAGATCCACTGAAACCAAGAATAAGCCACCATCAGCGAATCCAATTCATTATTCAGCATATTTACTTTTCAAATGAGAAGTCCCAAGACGCAAAAACACACAAAGACTGAGCTGATGTCAATTTCTGCTGTGTCAAAACTTAGCAGAACTAAGAACCATGAAGCACTCCGCCGAGGTTAACGGCTGCTGAACAGAGGAATTATTGTGCACATTGTCAAACTAACTGTGAACTGAGAGGACAGACCAAAACACGCACTCTCCCTCTGATGACTGAACTGACTGCATTATGCAGTCTGAGGCAAGCGGAAAGGAATCCTTACGCTCATCACAAGGACTGCACTATCTCGCAGTTGGCTGGTAGAGCACGACAACAAATCATGACCGCTGAGCCATTTAAATCATGTCATCTACAAAACAGGAAGGATGTAGCTCTCATCAGTCGGGGGTGGACAGAGGTCTTCCAATGAGAAGCTGTTTTTTAGCAAGTTCTTTCATTAATTAGATTCAAGAAATAGCCATTTCTAGATTTCCTATCACACTAAGTAGGGCTGGAAGATCATTTAACAGTCAATATTTTTAATATTACTGGTGGATCTAGTCACTATGTTTAATGTTCAATGAGTTGCTTTTAGTCACAAATCCACTGAGAATGATGAAAGTCTGCAGTTCCTCTTGGAGCTTTTTCAGTTCTTTTAGCTCATTGTTTTGGTTTTATGACCCACAAAATCTGCTCTCATCAACCCCATGCTCAGCAGCAATTAATGCAGCGTCATCATTTCTCAACTCTTTACTGCAACGGTATGATCTTTGTCCAAGGAAGCTGAAAATAAAAAATGACAAAATTAGTTGTTTCTGTTTTGTACGTTGAGTTTGTTCTCATGAACTGGGTAACAGTGGAACAGAATTCATTTCTTCAAAGATCGGTTCAAAGCTAGAATGATTAGTCCATTGACTACACACTAGTAATGGTTTTGATAATGGATGAATCGGCATTTTACAAAAACAAAATCACCAAACTCTCTGCTTACAGCTTCTGAAATGTTTTATATATTTTGAATTGAATGACAAAAACGAACAATTGTAAGACTTTGCCTTTGACTCTGGGAAACTGTGATGGGCATTTTTTAAATCTTTTTAACTTTTGATAGACTAAACGATGAATGAATAAAATACTAGCTGCACCATTTTAGTTGTTTTAAATATATTTATATATATATA